GACCACCCAAGGCCCGACCCAGCTCCCCACTTTGGCCAAAACCTAGCCCTGACCCTTTTATCCAATAACCTGTCCTGACCCCAGCCTGAGCCAGTGAGAAGTAAGGGCCAGTCAGGAGTCATTCCTCCTCCGCCCACAGACGGGGAGGGCGGGGCCCCCACTCGCTATGAGTCCCTCCTGGAGAACCTGGATGACCGGTGTCCAGAGCTGGCAGGTGAGTGTCATGGCAGAGCCCTGGGGTGGGGAGGTAGCATCTCCTTCCAGCCCCGACAGGCAGGGCTTCCTGGGCCTTGCAGAGGCGCTGCGCCGGCTGTCAGGCCTACCCCCTCTGGGCAACAGCCGGAGGAGACGTAATGGCACTCGTACCGGCACTCGGCGTGGCCACCAGGACCAAGGCCCTCTTTTGAGGTCCCAAAGGCTGGGCTCCCTGCTGTCCAGGCCCCGCTAGCGGGGGCCAGAAGCCAGGTAAGGAAGAGACATGGATACCTGGGGGGACATTCACACCCAGAAGGGGGACCCTTTCCCACGAGACAGACACCCATGTACTGAGAGAGGTGAACAGGCCCCCAATCTCAACCCCCATCACTACACACATATGCCTGAAAGAATGAACACACTGTACCCAGAGGCGGGCACCCTCCACCCCACTGGAGTGTAAGTGCCCAAGGGCAAGAACATCCTCCGTGCCCAGGAGACGTGGCATCGGGCCTGGCATTCCGTAAATGCCCGAGGCAGAGCTGCCAAATGAATTCCCGGAAGACAACAGCACCGCACGTGTGACAGGGCTTGTGCTAGACTTGTGCTCCGCTGTTCCGGCAGCCCCGTGACGAGGCACACCACCACCCAGTGGCCCAGCTAGACTCAGATCCAAAGGGGCTGGCCGTGACCTCTGCCTTGTGTGATCAGGCCCAAACAGACAGAGCCCAGCAGCATTCCTCTTACGGAATCTGGAATTACTGAGTTGTATCAGCAAGAGGCACAAGGTCACAGACAGGCTGTGAGGCTGCTGGGGACCCTTCCAATGTGGGTTGAGGGGCAGGCATGCCTGGGAGAATAGACAACTGGGAATTCCAGCTCCCAGAGCCAGACGCCTTTTAGGTCACCTGCTAATGCCTCACTGCCCGCTCTGACGGGTCAAGGCTGTGGGATTACCACAGGGCTCCTCCCTTCCCCCCCAGGAGGCAGCTCGGTGACTCATCCACCCCACCTCTTCAACCACCTCTTCCACCACCGTGAGACAGGCCAGTGAGACGGCACACAGCAGGCTCTGGTCTAAGATAAACTTTTAATTGCACATTTGTGTCTCTGGTCATCTATGGGGTGAGGAACCCACAAAAATCCTAACTACATGGGTACATTCTGGCGTTTTGGTCTGGCTGTCGGTGAAGGGGTGGAGTTGAGTGCAGAGCTGGACCCAAATCTGCTCCAATCCGCACCACGGTGCCCGATCTCTTCAGGGCAGGGAGCTCAGACCTGTGGGGGGAGAGGTGGTACCGGCCAGCGGTCAGCCCCGAGGTATAGGGAGAGGGGATGTCCCTCCCAGCCCCCGACTGGGGTGGGGGCCACTGGCTCACCGTGGTTGTATTTGCACTGCTTCAGGGCCTCGCTGAAGCCCTCACACAGGGTCAGGTCTCTCTGAGTGGTGGAGCAGTCCAGGAACTGCTTGATCTCATAGGCGCAGGGTCCCATCTGCAGGGGCTGGGAGGCGGCTCGGGCAGGGGCCTGCAGTGGGTGGCGCAGGAGGCAGCGAGGTCAGCTCAAACTTGGTAATGAGAAGTGGGTGCCAAAGCTGGGTGCCCCCTCCCGCTCCCCACAACCCCAGCCTGAGAGCCCCAAAGCTCCAGGCAGGCTGATCGACCCAGGACCAGCAGACTCAGCTGCTCCATCTGCTACACAGGGTGAGCCCCAAGCTCTCTCAGAGCCACTCAGCTGATGCCAGACAGAGTCTCCCTGCTGCCTCTTAATGAGCACGTGGGGCAGGTGGCAGGGGCAGGAGAAGAATCTGGAAAAGCCCAGTGAGGATGAGCCCCACCCCCACAAGTTCTAGCAATTTCCTGGCTCAGCCACACTGATCCCCATGACCCCTGACCCTGCCACGAAATCTGCATTTGGCTCAGGACTGGTGGGGTGCCCAGTGGGTGACGGGTCAGCAGGGAGCAGGCCCCAGAGTCACCCGCTACAGTGCCTGACGCAGGATGGGGAGTGAGGAGACTCGGGAATTTCCACATCCCTCCTTTCTCCTGGCGTCAGGTGACCTTGGGCCCTAAGGTCACGCGTTTCCCCATCTCTAAAGGGCTGGTTGGCCTCTGTCCCCGGGAGCCCAGGGACCTTGGCCTGAGGGGAGGGCCGGGGAGGGCCAGCCTGTGAGCCATAGGAGGACAACAGTGGAGTGAGAAAGAGGACCCTGGTGGGGGCAAAGTCCTGGGCCTGAGGCAGCTCAGGAAATGCCTGGACACAACTCGGTGGCCATTCCAGCTGGACTCCCTGCTCTGTGGCCTCGGTTTCTCGGGGCCCCGTTGCTCACCTGCTGAGCGGCAGGCTGGGCGGGCTCTGAGCTCCCCCCGCTGAAGGCTCCAGTCAGGGCGCTGCCCATAACATGCCCCACAGCTGAGCCCACGGCGACCCCAGCGGCCGTGGATGCCATCTGCGCCATCAAGCCCGGCTGGCCCGACGGGGCGGGAGCCGGCGCGGCGGCTGAGGGCGGAGGGTGGGCGGGTGGGTGGGCAGCAGGTGCGGCAGGGCGGCTGCGGGGTAGAGGAGTCGCAGGGTTAATCCTGGCCAGACCCCAGGCCAGCGGCCCGAGGGGCCAGCAGCCCCTGGACCTGCCCCCCTTTCCTCCTCCGAAGGGTGGGTGACCACCGTCTTAGACACGTGGTTGTGGCATTCCCTTACCCCCACCCCCACCCCCCACCCCGCACCCCCGCTAAGATGGCGCAGTCGTCCCCAAGGTCACGCATGGCGCCCTTGGAGAGCGCGCTTCCCCCGCCTCCTCCACGAGGGGCCCCTGTCCCGCTCCCACCTGGCCGGCCGGGCGGCCACGCTGCGGCTCCCTCGGGGCATGGTCGTGGCGGTGGGACTCTGCCGAGCAGACCAGAGACCGCAACGCTGGTGGCGATTCTGTCTCTCACCCGACCGACGCGACACCGCTTGTCACTGCCGCGCAAGGGGC